TGGCTGCTGTGCATGTTGTGAATGACACAACTGTAGGTTGTGATTAGCTGATGTGTAGGTTGTGACTGTATGGTGTGGAGGTTGTTATTTTCCTGTGTTCAGGTTGTCATTAGGATGTGTTGGTTTGTCACCTGGTTATGTATAGGTTGTAATTGCAGTCTGTTCGTGTTGTCATTCTGTTGAGTATGGGTTGTCACTGGATGCTGTACATGTTGTGAATGGCGCAAATGTATGTTGTGACAGGGTTATGTGTAGGTTGTGATTGGTCACTGTGTATGTTGTTATTTACTACTCTATGTCGTCAGTTGGAGAAATGTACGCTGTGAACTGGTTATGGATATGTTGTGACTGGCTGGTGTAGAGGTTGTTATTGTCCTGTGTGCAGGTTGTCATTAGGATGTGTTGGTTTGTCACCTGGTTATGTATAGGTTGTAATTGCAGTCTGTTCGTGTTGTCATTCTGTTGAGTATGGGTTGTCACTGGATGCTGTACATGTTGTGAATGGCGCAAATGTATGTTGTGACAGGGTTATGTGTAGGTTGTGATTGGTCACTGTGTATGTTGTTATTTACTGCTCTATGTCGTCAGTTGGAGAAATGTACGCTGTGAACTGGTTATGGATATGTTGTGACTGGCTGGTGTAGAGGTTGTTATTGTCCTGTGTGCAGGTTGTCATTAGGATGTGTTGGTTTGTCACCTGGTTATGTATAGGTTGTAATTGCATTCTGTTCGTGTTGTCATTCTGTTGAGTATGGGTTGTCACTGGATGCTGTACATGTTGTGAATGGCGCAAATGTATGTTGTGACAGGGTTATGTGTAGGTTGTGATTGGTCACTGTGTATGTTGTTATTTACTGCTCTATGTCGTCAGTTGGAGAAATGTACGCTGTGAACTGGTTATGGATATGTTGTGACTGGAAGTGTAGAGGTTGTTATTGTCCTGTGTGCAGGTTGTCATTAGGATGTGTTGGTTTGTCACCTGGTTATGTATAGGTTGTAATTGCATTCTGTTCGTGTTGTCATTCTGTTGAGTATGGGTTGTCACTGGATGCTGTACATGTTGTGAATGGCGCAAATGTATGTTGTGACAGGGTTATGTGTAGGTTGTGATTGGTCACTGTGTATGTTGTTATTTACTACTCTATGTCGTCAGTTGGAGAAATGTACGCTGTGAACTGGTTATGGATATGTTGTGACTGGAAGTGTAGAGGTTGTTATTGTCCTGTGTGCAGGTTGTCATTAGGATGTGTTGGTTTGTCACCTGGTTATGTATAGGTTGTAATTGCATTCTGTTCGTGTTGTCATTCTGTTGAGTATGGGTTGTCACTGGATGCTGTACATGTTGTGAATGGCGCAAATGTATGTTGTGACAGGGTTATGTGTAGGTTGTGATTGGTCACTGTGTATGTTGTTATTTACTACTCTATGTCGTCAGTTGGAGAAATGTACGCTGTGAACTGGTTATGGATATGTTGTGACTGGCTGGTGTAGAGGTTGTTATTGTCCTGTGTGCAGGTTGTCATTAGGATGTGTTGGTTTGTCACCTGGTTATGTATAGGTTGTAATTGCAGTCTGTTCGTGTTGTCATTCTGTTGAGTATGGGTTGTCACTGGATGCTGTACATGTTGTGCATGGCGCAAATGTATGTTGTGACAGGCTTATGTGTAGGTTGTGATTGGTCACAGTGTATGTTGTTATGGGCAGTGTGTAGGTTGTGATTGGTCACTGTGTATGTTGTTATTGGGCAGTGTGTAGGTTGTGATTTTCCGCTGTTTATGTTGTCAGTGGCCTGTTTGGATGATGTTGTTGTATATCTAAGTTATCATTAACTTCACATGCAGATTTATTGCCTACAACACTTTCCTCTCGGAAAAGAAAAGGCGGCAAAAAATGAAAATGCCATTACTTATTGGGATGAGGAAAAAGTGAAGGCAAGAGTGAAATCAGAAAAGAATAGCGACAGAGGCATACTGCATGGCGTTCCGAGTGTCGGTGGGGCTTCAACAAGTGCATCCAACACAGGAATAAAGCTAACTCACCCTGTAAGTAAATCATGTGAAGCTTATTTTGGTGCTGTGTAGAATTTGGAGTAATGATAACTTTCATTACTGTTGTTTTGCAGGAAATCAAGAGAACGTATGAAAGGTTGATGACCATGGTTGAAGGGTTGGTGTCGACAATTGGAGAAGAGTTGGTTTCCCTGCAGTTGAGGTTGACGGATGAGATTGACAAGGAAGATGTGGTGGAAGCAGTAAGTAGCGAAGATGACAAAGAGAAGGCAACTGAAGATGAAGAAACCGGTGAAGAAGGTAAAGGAAGCCCAAAAGATTCAATTTTGTCACAAGAGGAACAACAGAGTGAACCAGAAGGAGATGATAAAGAAGAGGGCAAAAGTGCTTCGCGTGAAGAAGAGAGTCAATCTCAACCTGAGGAGAAAGGAGAAGGGAGTCACTCTGGATCAGAGGATGATGGAGAAGAAAAAACACAAGACAAGTCTAGTGATGCAGCAGCAGAAGAGGATAAGGGTGTAGGCGATGAAATGGAGGAAAAGGATGAAATGGACCAGCAAGCACAAGGGCAAATGGATGTAAGAAGATCAACACGGGTGACAAGCCGTGCAATCAAATCTCCCTGGTTAGAGGAGGTGAAAAAAGGCCGTGGCAAGAGAAAAGCTGACGAGAAAGAGGAATTATTCCAGATGTGCACGAGAAGATGTGATCAAGATGAAGGTGCCAAGTAAGTGTTGGGACTGATTGTAATTGGGACAACTGATTGACAACAATTTTACACATACAACCCTTGTGCTCATTGTTCCTTTTGCTGCAGGTACATTGTAGAGATGTATGGGTACTTCTTGACACGTGCTGAGCTTTGCTGCCTACAAGACAGGAAATGGATGAACGACAGGGTAAGACAGTTGTTTATATAGATAGAGAACTGCGAATGTCATTATGATCATGACTAACTGTTTGTATGTGTGATATAGTTCATGTCTATGGTGGCGAGAACCTTGGTGGGAGATGAAAAAGAGAACCACAGTCGTGTCAGTAGGCACATTTTTACACCCGAGTTAATGCAAACAATGGCCGCTAATCCTCTTAGGTGGAGCATGGAAAAACATGAACATGAAATCTTACCGGAGCACATAGGATATAACATTGGAGACTGTGACTTCATATTTGGCCCCACCCTTTTCAATTACCATTGGTTCTGTTACGTGATGGATGTAAGAACCATGCGTTTCTATGCCCTTGACTCGTTGGTGGACAATTTGACGATGTTGAGATTACAAAGAGAGGAAGAAGAAGCAATGAAAACAGGGAAGAAACCACAAAGGAAGCAAGGGAAGAAGAGAGGACAGATAGATCCTAAGCAATTCATGGCGAGAGGGATTGTATGCACAACTTTACATTCATTCTATAACTTGTTAATGCGTTATGGTTGCTTGTCTGCTTAACTGTCCTGGTTGTTAATGCCTGCTGATTACTTGTCATTCGCTACAGCGAAGGTTGTTAATGCTTCCTGATAACTTGTCATTCACAACTGTCAAACTTGTTTCTTCTGTTTGTCCCTTTTTTGCAGAGAGATTGTTTCTGCCAAGTGCTTCGTGTGCTGAAGCCATCACTGTTTGCGGAGGAGGACAAGATTGACGAGGAAGTCACATGGGCAAAAGTTCATGTGCAATCTGACACGTGAGTTATTTTTCAACACAACAAGTACTTGTGTCTCAACTTTTGGGAGCTAATGTTCATTCACTAAAGTACTTGTTTTTCCTTTGTAGGGACTCTTGTGGGGGCATGTGTTGAGCTGGTTACAAACATGGGACGGCACTGAGTATGGTGATGACGGCTACACAATGCCTAAGTACTCCCCTGAAGAAATCCATGACTTGAAGGTTGGATGCTTGTGGTGGCTCGTGACTCATCGGAACAACCTGCATGGCGATGAAGTGCTATCTTTGCTGCGAGGAAACCCCCAAAGCAAGAGGAAGAAATAAATGACAAGCATATATTGTATTTACATTTATTTATTTGACAGCATAGTGACATGTGAACGTCAAGTTTACATTTTATTCTTTTCTTTGAGCATGTATGAATCCTGGATGTTAAGATATGTTAATGTGTTTTGATATCCTTTACTGGTTATCAAGTTTTTGTAAAGGCATTCATGTGTTTTCATCATGGCCACAAATGCAGACTGAATAAGACTGGATAAACAAATGGTACCCACGGTGACATCATAGGCATATATCAGAGTCCTCTCTGCCACATCTGTTTACAACCTCAACAGGGGTTGTTCACAACCTCAAAAGGGATTGTTGACAACCCGAACAGAATTGGTTAACAACTCAGTCGGGGTATAACACAGCTGTTAACTTAATTATATTATGAGCACATATAACGACCTTAATAGCAAAAATTGGGAGCATTTTAAAGTCATTAACAGCTTTAAACATATTAGAGCAGATTTTTATTCCAGCAATTCATTTACAACCTCAACAGGGATTGTTGACAACCCGAACAGAATTAGTTAACAACCTTCGCATTGCCCCTGACAACTGACGCTGGGGATACCACAACCTCCACATGAGATCTAATTCTAACCAAATCATATCATATTATGACTTTAACACAGCTCGAATGTCTTAAGAAATCACTGAACACTGGAAGTAGGAGAAATTGTCACTTTATATCAGTAACATAATTGAGACTGCTAATGACAACCTGCATGGCGTCTGATAACAAGTCCATTACAACCTATTCACCAGTACATCAAAAATACAGAAATGATGTTATATCAGATTACAACCAGGTGTCATTTACCACTTGATATATATATGTACAACATAACTACACCAAATTTACAACCTATTCAAAAAAGCATACGTGTTGCATGTGTGGATAATGACGGACAACTTGAGGTGTAGGTTATGACATTTACAAAAAAAATGCTGTCACAAGCATTCACAAAACGAAATATCAACAAGCCACCAACAAAGCTCAACTTGGATTGGGGTTCTGGCAAGTCTTCACAGTGTGGCCTGGCTCATGGCATCTTCCACAGTGGTAAAGTTTTTTACTTTGAAATTGAGATTCAATCCTTCTTTTCTTTGGCCTCCCTAAGGGTCTTTTAGTGATTGGTGGCTGTAAAAATGTTCCCGTCATCATCTGCGTAACGGTGAGAGCTTCGGGACGAGGACAATCATGTGTCGCAATTGGCCTCATACTACTTGCATATATCTTCTCTTGGGCTGACAGCTTATAGCAATCATCTACAAATTCATAAACACTACCATGAAGTAGCTTTATCGCTGCACATGCATGAGCACAAGGTAGTCCGCTCATTTGCCATGCTAAACAAGTGCATTTCTGAGCTGTGAGATCAACAGTGACACAAATTATTCCAGTAGGAGATGTAGTATCAACTTGAACTCGGTTATCTCCATAATATACAGTATGCATATTCTCCGCTCTTGCTACTTTTTCTTGCAACTTGGACTCAATATTTGGCCCAACGCCATTTGTCCAATTTTCCATTGCCATTTTGCTTGCAACCATCTTCTTGGCTAATTTCTCCATATGCTCATGTATGAGAACTGACACATTGTGCTTCCTCTCCTTCAAAATCCAGGCATTAAACGACTCCGCAACATTAGTAGTGATGTTATCCCATCGCTTAAACGGGAATTTGCTTAAAGCCCACCGATCTACATCTCCTTGAGTGTCAACCCAATCAGCCAATTGTGGACAGAATGATCTAAGTTTCTCCATTGCAGCAACATATTCATCCTCAATCCTTGCATAGGCGATTCCATCCAGCATTTTCAATGCAACGTCCTTTGAAGTACCTGAAACTCGTCCCCTGCCTCGGTTAATTTTTAAATAATGTGCACTAAAATTTTCTTTCACATGCCTATAACAAAAAGCATGTCTCTCGCCACCAAATATTGTTCGCACAGCACCTATAATGGCATTATTCCGATCTGAAACTATCGTTGTCTCCACTGATCTTGTGATGTCTTTGATGTTCTGGAGAAACCAAGCCCAATCATCATATGTCTCCCCACTAACTATAGCATATGCTAATGGAAATAGTTCATTGTCTGCATCATATGCATTAGCTGAAATCAATGTCCCCCTGTAAGGACCACTTAGATGACAGCCGTCTATATAAAGTATATGTCGACACCCTTCTAAAAATCCATTAATTGAGCATCCATAAGCAATGAACACCCTCTGAAATCTGTTACTATCCAACCCTTCCCATCGAGCACTTGTGTTTGGATCAGTTTCAATGAGCCTTTGACAAATCCAGGGAATCGCCATGTATGAATCCTATGCACGACCATGTATTTCCCTCAATGCTCTTTCTCTACCCCTATATGCTTGACTATAATTCAGTCGCACCCCATATTCTCTATACAGATCTCTTCTAAGTTCATTAGCATTCTTGTCTATATTACACCTCAAAGAATCTATCATGATTAATGATGTTAAGTTTGACCCTCTAGAGTGAGATACAACCAAGCTGTCCTGTGCATAATGCACATGCTCGCTTCTTAAGGTTCTAATTATTAACAACTCAGAATCTTGTCTTTATCCCATTGAGTATGCACCCATATACCACGGGCATCCCTCCGCCATACACTTCACAATGATCTTTTGTTGATTGTTCTTCACAAACTTGTATGAAAACTTCACAACAATACTGTACCTATACAGTGCTTGCCTAAGAGCCACTGCATTAGGAAAAATCTATCCTTCTCCGATAACCAAACCCTTCCACTTTATTGAATTCATTTCCGGAATTGGGGTTGGCATCATTTCTGAACCACATGGCAACAATAGTGGGTCTTCACTAACCACATTAGGTGGAGACATGGACAATGTATCTGAACCTCCGAACAAGTCTTCCATCCTACATAACAGAACAGGTCAAGAGATCGTTAATGACAACCTTCGATCACTATAATAACAACTTATGCACAACAGTTGACAATAGCTAATATTACTTCGAAATTTAAATAACACAACTTACACATGTTGCTCTTCTATTACAACATCCCTTGTTAGTTGTGAATTTTGATCTCCATTTTCTCCTATATATACATGACCACTATCGCCATTGAAGTTAATCAAATGTTCTACTCCTTCATCATCTACAAGGTCCACAAATGTACACTCATCAAAGGTTACTGTGAATTTCATAACCATTCCATTACTTTCTTTTCCCACAATTGATGCCACCATTGTTCTAAATTCTCCATATGATGTCCCTTCCTTTATCATTCTTGTTCTCACACCACCTCCAACATACTGCGTTTCACCTTCTACACCATTAATAAATTGTCCTCCTATATGGAGGTAGCAAAACAATTGCTTTGCACTGGAAGTTGCCATCCTGGATATCAACCTGCCACAATCACTTGTTAATAACAAGTCATACAGTTATGTTAACAACCTTCGATGTACCCATTAACAACACATTTAACCATCACATTTGAGGGGTTACAATAATAAATATCTGTCATTTTCCACTCATTTCCATCAGCAACACAGCATCATTGCCCGAAAAACAGAGCATCATTCACCGAAAAACAAAGCATTGCTTTCTAACCATAGCCACACATAGTAAAACCACACCTAACATGATTAAAACCACATATGACTAAAATGAACCTCCCTTGATATTTCTACAAAGCTTAATCACATGCTTAATACCAACGTATAAACACCCAATCAACTTTTCAGACCAGCATTAAAGCTGCGACTGGTTGTTAATAACAAGTCATACAGTTATGTTAACAACCTTCGATGTACCCATTAACAACACATTTAACCATCGCATTTGAGGGGTTACAATAATAAATATCTGTTATTTTCCACTCATCTTCATCAGCAACACAGCATCAGTGACCGAAAAACAGAGCCTCATTCACCGAAAAACAGAGCATTGCTTTCTAACCCTAGCCACACATAGTAAAACCACACCTAACATGATTAAAACCACATATGACTAAAATGAGCATCCCTTAATATTTCTAGTGAGTTGAATCACATCTTTAATACCCACATATCAACACACAATCAACTTTTCAGACCAACATTAAACTTGACACTGGTTGTGTACAGAAGAAGAGAAATGTTGTTAATGATGAGACATACCAAGAAGATGAAGAAATAATGTCGCTTGCCTGCGATGGAGTACCAGCGCATAACTCCCTTCTTTCTTTCAGAAGCTTCTCTTCCTTGTGCATGCATAACAAACAACCGCACTAAATGAAGCCAATCAGCGTCTCTCCCTCTTTTCTTTCCTTTATCAATGACTAAGGGCAAGTACGTAATATCACAACTCAAATTATTTACCCAGAGGTCCCTGGGGACTTATCAGGAATTTGGAGATTTCATGGGACCTTCTGGTAGTAAATTGTCTTCTGTGGGACTCTACAGTAATTTTCCCAATATGAACACCCGAAGCGTTGAGAGAGAGTAGTGGGGCGAAGCATTCCATTCTAGCTTGGTGCGCACATCCATAGTGCTTGGATATGCTGAATGTTGTTGCCAAAGTGCCCTGAAAATTGACAGCCGATCCTCTCTCTGATTCCATTTGGAATTTAATTCACCAAGTAGTATACTTTTGACTTCAATCTAATAATTACTCGTTTTGTACAGATAATTGATTTATTTAAATATCTGGCGATAAAAGAAAAACATTATAAGTGAGGCTTTCAGAAGAGAGAAATTTAGAGAGAACTCATGAAAAAACATACTGGTATTATATAAAGAAGTTGATACAACTCCTTCTGCCCGTAACTGGAGGCAGAGTGGGGTTTATATAGAGGCTCGGTGTCATTACATGATAAAGTCCTAATAGTAGATATCATCATGACAGGTAGGTGTCATAATGACTTGACATTTTAAAATTTTAAATCACTTTTTAAAAATACTTCCTATCTCTATCATGTAAATAATGGTCTCGGCTCACTTGGATAATTAAACAAGTCTGACTAACTTAATTGAAAAAACGATAATGAATATTTCAGATAGGTCGTTGAAGTCTCTTAGTTATGCATAAGAATAAATATTAAATAGTGACCCTAAAAACTTTTTATAAAAAAAAATTGGAGAGTATAAATTTGACCAAAATATTTTTTTATAAAAGATTTTTGTGTTTTCAACATGAAACTTTCGAAATATTTATGACTTCTTCCACTTTAATTAGTGACATTGTAGTATGTACAAATATCACTCTGTGCACAGGTTTAAAAAACAACAAACGGTCTTAATTTTTAATAAAATGCAATGGTATTTTATTAAAAAGTTCTTAATTATTTATGTAATGTCTCGAATAAACAATTATCATTTATTGAATAGTATAATTGTTAAAAAAAATAATTAATACTTTGTGAAAACATAAAGTCAGAACTATTTGAAGCAAATTAAAAAGCCAAATCTTCAAAATGAGAATCATATATTGAGTTAGAGGAAGCACCGAAGCAACAAAATCTTACCCGAAAGTCCGTAATGTGCTTTTTTGGGTCAATAATGAAAGTTTCTAAAGGCCTAGTGATTTGACCATATATACAATTTACATCAATGAATACTGATTAATTGAATTGTATGCAGGCGTATTTTTGCCAAAGTTTTAACGGACTTTTTCATATATAATTTTGAAGCAAACACTTAAAGCCTAATTTATTTTTCCTTTTCTAAACACAAAATTATCTGATTGGGATCCGTCCCATCAAAATCCCACCATGACAAAACAAAATACATCAAATTAAAATGCGGGGTTGAGTGTATCTGGAGACTACTTTTAAAAGTGACGTTTATTATGAAATGATTAAGTTTTAATCTACCTAAAATCTATAATACTTTTTTATAAAATTATAAAAAATAATAATAATTTTTTTCATCTATTAAATAATTTTTCATAGCAATATAACTAATATTTTTGTACTTAAAATTTTCTATTACAATAAACAACAATTCCGTCAGTATCCAGAGTATAGGTTTTTGGACCACAAATTCTTGTTTTCACACGCCAAAACGTGTACAGCTCATTCAATAGATGAGCCTTTAAAAGCCAAGCCTTAGTTCTTTCCCCTCCACACAAGTCACTTGAAGCGCACTAATTAGCTCATACGAATATGACTTGTTTTGTCTCTATCGCTTTCTTCTTCTTCTTCTTCTTCTTCTTTAGCTACTGTGAGGCACAAAAGGCTTCAGCTCTGTATGTGTTTGGAGACTCACTTGTGGATGTTGGCAACAACAATTTTCTCAAGCTTTCCATTGTGAAGGCCAACCATTTCCCCTACGGCATTGATTTTCCCACTAAGAAACCCACCGGAAGGTTCAGTAATGGCAAGAATGCCGCCGATTTCATTGGTAAGTTAACCAAAACTCATTTTTATTTCTATCGTCATTCACAAGTAGTAGATTTTGTCTTCACTATATGTTTTGTGTTTGTTTCTTATACCGATGTAAAAAGATTTTTTTTTTTATATCAGTTGAAAAAAACTCTTTAATACGGGTTCTTAAACTAGAGTAGATATTCAGTCGGGATATTGAACTTGGTGTGGCAAAAAAAAAAAACTGCTCTACTCTGATTGTTGCTACCCAGTGAAGAAAAGGTTGACAAAATGAACCATTGCATTCTTTTCTTTTCTTGGATGCTTTTAGTTACGTTCTTCTTTTATTTTATGTTGTTTAAAATTTAACGGCTCGTATTTAACATACAGTGCATGAGATTATTGTTTAAGGTGATGCTTTCTTATATATAAAGAAAAACTTACTTATTTTGTTGCATATTCGTTTTACAACAATCAATCTTCAATCAAGGTTTTTTTATCACAACAATCGAACGTATTAAATTTTAAGAATTTTTTGTTACTTTTAAAAATAAGATTTAAAATAAAAGTATGGGTTAATACAAATTTTAGTCCCTCAAATTTGGATCCAATTTGGTTTTAGTCTCTGAAATTTCAAACATGTAGTATTGGTCCCTAAAATTATGTCTGTTTCAGACTGTTGGTCCCTAGAATCTTGACACCGTTAAAATTTTCTGATATGGCATTAACACTGTTAATTGATGAAATTGACACATAGGCTGGCTTATATATGACATATGACCTGGACATGAAATTTAAAAAAAAAAAAGAGAAAAGAAATGGACAATCAGATGCAAAATGCGCACACATGACAAACACTAAACACACGCACGGACACTACAAAACCCACAGGCAAGTTTCCCTTATCTGGGCCGGTCTCTTTTTGCTTGAGCACATGTAAAGACCCACACGAGTGGTGGAATAGAGTGTTTGGCAGAGCATGGTGGCGGAGACGCCGGAAAACAGAGCAGAAACACCCTCGGAGTGAAGAATCTGCACACCAACCGATATGGGTCCGGCTCTGGAACCACGAGCTGCAATGCCAAGTGAGGAAGAAGCATCCACTGGAGGAGACTGTGTGGGAAGAGCAAAATTAAAGCAGGATGTAGATTATGAATGTTGTGACAGTTAACGGAAACAGCGACTTGCTTGCCCTAAAGCTGCATCCAAACTTTGATCAAATCAAGCGGATGAGTGCTACACCCAGCAACAATGGACGTGATACCACCCTCAACAAAACTCTTAACACCCATTTCGCGTACAGAAAAGGGATCGAAGATTTGAAATTTGTATGGATAGAGAGAAGGGGGGCAACGGCGATCATTTTCTTCCAGTGTCTGTGCTTGTGTTCAGCGTTTGTCATATGTGTGCCTTTCGCATCTGATTGTCCATTTCTTTTATTTATTTCTTTTTAAAAATTTCATGTCCAGGTCAAATGCCACATATAAGCCAGCCTATGTGTCCACCTCATCAATTAACGATATTAATGTCATGTCAGAAGATTTTAACGGTGTCAAGATACCAAGAACCAATGGTTTGAAACGGACATAGTTTTAGGGACCAATACCAAATTGGACCCAAATTTGAGGGACCATAATGGTTTTCGGGCATACCTGAAGTATAAGATAGTCTCAGATAGCCACGCGGAGGTCCGGTTACTGTAGGAACTCGGATCTTGAAGACACAACAAATACACAGAGAAGGAGAGGTTCAGAGAGTTGGGGGGGTCTGGAGGAACCAACTGCTTGTCGAGAAAAAACGCCTTACACAAAATGATCCCGCTTGGATCAGTTACGTAACTCCACACGTTTGAAATTAATAAACCGCCTCCTTAGTCCAACCGTTCCCCCCATTTTGCATGTCAGATAAAAAAGGCTAAAACTGCAGTTAGGGACCCATATGTTTTGTAATTTATACCAGGACCCCAAATGATGCTGGGCTTGGGTCCAATCCACCAAGGGTGGACTGGCCCATTTTCTTACATCTCCCACTCACACTTGGTGGATTAGATGTCGTGGGTCTAGTCTCTTTACCTTCCTTCAATTTCATACTTAGTGCTTTGTCGTGACCGCGTAGGCATGACGTCTTCGCTTGGGTCTTTGTACTAGAAATCCCTTTTAAAGGATCAGCACAAGTCACCCTCTCCTTTGTGTAGCTTGAATTTTAAAATTATGCCTCAGATGTCCTAGATTTACTTATATACACTTTTCCATGGTAAATCTAATCCCTCTCGAGTCAATAGTTAACTCAGATTACCTTTCTCTTATGTCTAGTATCCACACTTACGACTACAAAATGTCATAAGGGACATGTCACAGACACTAGCATAGGTGTGTATATCACATTCAATCTTCCTTTCGCCCAAACATCACTTTGAAATGAATCAGTCGCTTTCTTAGCATACTACCTTAGATCGCATCAATCATGACCATAGGACATATGCTAAAGTAGCAGTCACTGAAACATATCTTCATGATATTGTCAAAGTCAAAGGACACCAATAGGAGGATAATTCCTCCCTGGGACTCACACAGCAATGAAGCAGGGATCTTTCACTTGCTTCCCTTTTGCGGTTCTCTCAGCACATGTGGTATGAAACACATGCTACGGTGTTACTCTTTTACTATAAGAGCGTATGTCGATTTAGATTTATTATTAACACCGTACAGACTTAGGTCCAGACATACTCAGTGTCTAAACCCAAATTCTTCAACTCTGCTCATTATTATGACGTCGACGTTGAAGAGCTTGTTGTCTGGCTACAGGTATTATGGAAGTGAGATTCCAAACTTCGATCCAACTTTATCAACGTGGATCTCATCTTGACTTGCAACACTTTAGTCAAGGCGACATAAAGTTTGTGTTTCTTCTTTACCATATCAGCATTCATTGCTGCTTTACTGGTGAACACAAATGTCTCATCTTTGTTCACTCCACCTGAGTGTCAAAGGTGGTTGCCCGTGTGAGAGAGCCAACCTTTTTAACCTGTACGACATACTAGACATTGTATACTTTCAGACAGACACATAAAGTGATAACGAAATATAATTTCATTAATGAAGCATTCATATTACACTTTACGTATGCCAAGGGCTTGTACATGTTCTTTAAAAACTCTTTCGCCTATTGGCTTTGTCAGAGGATCTGCTACCATACATTTGGTTGAAATGTATTGTACAGTAACAATCTTTTGTGCTATGTAATCTCTAACAAAATTATACTTGATGTCAATATGCTTGGTTTTGCTGTGATACTTGGGATCTTTAGTATAGGCTATGGCTGCAGTATTATCACAATATACCATCACTGGATTGGTACTCTCATTTCCAAATCCAAGGTGTTCTATAAATCTCTTCAGCCATAAAGCCTCTTGCACTGCTGCAGTGCATGCCACAAACTCAGCTTCCATTGAATGTAAGGCAATACACGTTTGCTTCTTGCTACTCCAACATATGGCGCCATTGTTGAGCAAGAAGGTATAACCTGAAGTTGACCTTCGTTCTTCTTCATCTCCGCCTACATCAGCATCGGAGTACCCAACAAGACGCAGGTCATCTCCTTCGTAGCACAGTGCATAATTGGAAGTTCCCTTTAAGTACCTCAAGATCCTCTTCACTGCTTTCCAATGCTTTTCACCGGGGTTAGACTGGAATCTGCTCACCAGTCCCACTGCATAACAGATGTCTGGTCTTGTACACATCATTGCGTACATCAGACTACCAACAGCACTGGCATATGGAACTCTTTCCATCTTCTTTTTATCAGATTCGGTTTTGGGACACATGTCAGAACTCAAAGCCACTCCAGTAGCAACAGGGGTACTCATGGGATTGCAGTCTTTCATGTTAAATCGCTCAAGAATCTTGTTGACGTAATTTTCTTGTGAAAGAGAGAGAATTCGTTTTGAACGATTTCTTTGGATTTTAACTCCAAGTATGTATTCTGCTTCACCCATATCTTTCATTTCAAAATTCGATGAAAGCCATTCTTTAATAGCCACCACCAAATCTAGACTATTTCCGGCTAATAGTATATCGTCTACATATAAGGATAATATGACAAAATTACCCTCAAACCGCTTAATGTAGACGCAGTGGTCTTCCTCTATCATTTGGAAGTCATATGAGGTTATTGCTTTGTGAAACCTCAAATACCACTGTCTGGATGATTGTTTCAATCCATAAATGGACCTTTTGAGTTTACAAACTTTATTTTCTTTTCCTTTTTCAATGAAACCTAATGGTTGTTCCATATAGATTTCTTCATCCAGATCACCATTCAGAAATGCGGTTTTTACATCCATCTGATGTAATTCTAAATCTAAACTGTTTACTATTGCCAGAATAAGTCTAATAGAATTGAAACGCACAACGGGTGAGAATGTATCTTCATAATCAATTCCTTCCTGTTGCGTGTACCCCTTTGCCACTAATCGAGCCTTGTATTTGTCAATTGATCCATCCACTTTTCTTTTAATTTTGAGAACCCACTTGTTCCCAATGGCTTTACGCCCTTTTGGAAGATCAACTAACACCCAAACTTGGTTCTTTTTCATTGAGTCCATTTCTTCTTCCATAGCTTTCATCCATTCATCTTTCGCAGGACCTGATAAGGCTTCTCGTACAGAACGGGGCTCATCATCCCCTTCTGGAGTAACTAAGAGAGATTCGCCTTCTATTTGAAAGCGTCTTTTGGGAACACTTTCCCTGTTACTCCTTCTGACGGGAGCTATTTGCTTTTCTTTCTTTCTTTGTTCAGGTCTTGGTGTTGACCTTTCTTGGCTCCCACTCAGATTGACACACCTAGACGATTCTGGTTTGTCAATTTGTTCTGTACTGTCTTGTTCCTGTGTCTCATAGAGAGAAACGGTACGGTCAACATCTCCTCTATTAGGAAATTCAGTCTCAATGAATATTACATCTCTTGATTCTATTTCAGTCACGGTTCCATCTTCGTTTTCACCTATGAAAACGTATCCCTTTGATTGTTCAGAGTACC